AGAAAGAGAGACAACTGCCAGTCATTTGCTCTTATTGGCCGACATGGTTAGATAATTGTGAGGGGGGTGGCGGCTTGCATGTGTGTGACAATATCAGGGTGTGTGTGTGTGGTGTGTGTATGTGTGTTTACAAAATAGCCACCCAAGCAGGCTTGCACCTCTGCTGCTGTCATGTAGATGATCACGAACGGCCTCTTTCCGCACACATTGAAGTTTGGAATTGGAATATTTGCTAAACTGTTAAGTAGCCCTGTGAGGAGTCGCAATGGAGGTAAGGCAAATCTGTGTGTTGTTTTCATAAACTAAACAGATGCTTTTGTGATAGTTTATGTAAGCTTAAAACGTGCATTCATTTTGTTCAATGTGACATGGTGCTCTGTTATTGTATTACGGGGTTATTTTGGTCACTGTGTATAGAATTCACTGATGTCAGATGGACACACTTTAACCTGTGCCGATTGGAAAGCTTCTGCTTTGTGTGTGCAATGTAAATGAATTGTGCGGGCATCCGGTTGTCACGTTGTGCTTTCGTCAAGGATCGTTCACAATCGATCCAGTTTGGGCGTGAACAGGAATGATGCAGGTCAGCAGAGTGAAGTTGGCCGGCTCGAATGTGGACAAAATATCTACCCGTCTCGATTTGCAGCCGACACCTGTACACCTCACGGCTTGTCAGTGGCACATTGGTGGGGCAGAAACCAAAAAAATGGCGTTTCTGATTCGCACTAAAACTGAAATCAAAGCTAGTTGCGAGAATGACGTGGATTGGATCAGAACAGAATTGCTCAGTTTTGTTTTTCGTGTTGTTGCTAGGCGGAATTCAAAGAGTTAAATCAAAACAATAAAAAGTTGGTATGCTGGTCACGCCCACGGGGCTGTGTGTTTATACTGTAAACTAGATGCTGCCGGAAATAATGAAATGACTATTTAAAAAAAAAAAGCATTTTCTTGGTAAATGGCGGATGATGACTTGAAGAAGTTCGTTTTGTATTGAATCACTGCTCTGTATTAAATGCAAAGTACGAAATAAATCGGTCAGGGCCACAAACAGAGTTAACTTGATCTTGCTCTGTTGTCAATTTTAGTGTTTGACGTCATTCTATTTTTTTTAATCGACCAACCCTATCTGTTAGCTTTGGCGACTAAACCTTATTGAATAAAATATGAATTCCATCACTCATTGATCATTCTAATTATGTGTGGCCAATGAGTGTGAAGTAGGTTAATAAAAAGAGGCACGCTTCATTGATTGGCAGCCGTTTGGGGAAAATGCTGTGGGGGGAATTAACAGCTGGCTGTCAGCTTGTGACCTTATATCAAAAGTCGAGCACTGAATGGGTTTGTTTATTTGTTACACTTTTAAAATGCAACCTTGCTCGGAGTAGAAAAGCCTTCAAGTTCAAAAATACATTATTTGGAAGGAATGATGTGAGCTCCTAATTGTGACTGGGAGTGTAAATCAACGTGGTCGGTGTGGTGCAGGTGATGCAGGTGGTGAGGGAGCAGATCACGCGCACTCTGTCCACCAAGCCGACGTCCCTGGAGCTCTTCAAGAACAAAGTGAACGCTCTCAACTACAGCGAAATCCTCAAACTGCGGCAGACCGAGCGACTACACCAGGAAGAGACGCTGGCCCCGCCCGTGCTGTGAGTTGAAGGACGAGCGCTGCCGACATGCTCAACTGAGGAGAAAAATAATAATAATAATTTAATGTAAAAATGCTGCTTGTGTCTTTGCAGTGAACTGAAAGAACGTCTGAAGCCGGAGCTGCTTGAGTTAATCCGCCAGCAAAGACTCAACAGGCTTTGTCAGGGGACTATGTTCAGAAAGATCAGCAGCCGACGTAGACAAGGTGGCTGACAAGCACACGCGCGCACACACAAACACTCAAGAAGGAAGACTTTTTTTGTCCTCTTTCCTTTTCTGCATATGTTCATGCTGTTGACTGTTGCCCCCTTAGACAAACTGTGGTACTGTCGTCTGTCGCCCAATCACAAAATGCTGCATTACGGCGACCTCGAGGAGGACTCAGACACCCCACCCATTGAAACACTGCAAGAAAAGAGTGAGTGTAGTGTGGGTGATTGAGGAACATACTTCAGAGCATTACTGATGACTTGCACTCGTTGTGTAGTCCCGGTGGCAGACATCAAGAATCTGCTGGTGGGCAAAGAGTGTCCTCACATGAAGGAGAACAAAGGCAAACAGAACAAGGTGAGCCGCTCGTTGTTATTCACAGCGGAAATAAAAAGTCTAACACCCCTGTTCAAATTCCGGGTTATTGGGATATGACAAAATAAGAACAAAATGAACAGTTTCAATACTTTTTCCACCATTTAATGTGATCTGTAACCTGTACAACTCAATTGGTGTGGGGGAGGAAATATTTTAGAGAGGGGAAGTAAAAGCAAAATGATGCTCCTCTCAATGCACAAAAACAGCACATTGGAAAGTTTTTCAGTGACTAACTGAGGACAGGAACACCCCCCACTAATCATTTGTAACTTTTGAGAGTAATATTACAGATACAGTATGTACTATAGAATACCGTGTCTGACATTGTAGTTTGATAGTGTGCTATGAGATTTTTCCAATGTCAGTTGTGTTGGGGAAACACGGATGTAGTGTGCATGAGACCTCACTGCCGTGCGTGTGTTGCATGTAGGAGGTGTTGGACCTGGCGTTTAGCATCACCTATGACGTGGAGGAGTACAGCCTCAACTTCATCGCACCCTCAAGGACTGACGTGAGTGCAGCTCATTAACTCATTCACTCCCAAAGACGTTTTTAAACGTCTTTTCACACTTGGTCCAGAATTGGCTGGTACTGAATGAGTTAACATCAACATAGGCAAGCTGTCCACTTATAGACTTTGTTTGTGTGCGTGCGTGTTAGTTCTGCCTGTGGACAGACGGACTGAGCGTCCTCCTGGGTCGGGAAATGAGCAGCGAATCCATGCGCAGCGAGCTGGACATCCTCCTCTCCATGGAGATTAAGCTTCGCCTCCTGGATTTGGAAAACATCCCCATCCCAGAGAATGCGCCCGTCGTACCCAAACCACCGAGCAACTACAACTTCTGCTACGACTTTAGTCAAACTGAACAATAGAGGGCACGTCACAAATGAGCGCCTGTGTAAATATCTAGTGTGTGTGTGTGTGTGTGTGTGTGTGTGTGTGTGTGTGTGTGTGTGTGTGTGTGTGAGAGAGAGAGAGAGATAGAAGGGGATCTTTTGTTTGTGTGTGAGGCTCTGACGTACACGTTTGTTGCAAATGTTCACGAGCTTCAACTGCTGCTGTGCTCATCTTTAAAGGGGAAGGTCAACCCCCAAATTTCATGACAATAATATGTTGTATGTGCCCCCACTAGTCTAAACATGGCATTCTGATTAATCTTGCGTTTGTGGAATATGAGTTACAATCCACCCGTTTTAGGCCACCTCAACGGGCGGCCATTTTGCTGCTAGCCATCAACAGAAAATGATATCACAGTTGTTCAGGTACCAACCAATCACAAGCCAGTTTTCAGAAAACTGTTAAGCTATGATTGGACAAAACGGGTGGGCTCCTATTCCACAAACACCACAATCTTAATTAGAATGCAGTGTTTCGACTTGGGGAGGTGCATCGAATATATTGTAAAGAAAGTTTTGGGGTTGACGTCCACTTTAACATCCACTTGCTTGACTGAACCTCACAATTTGAAGTGCAATTTCACTTTTTTAACCAATCTGTTCCAAAGTTTCACAGGACTCAATGAAATGAATGAAAATCTACCTTGTTTTGTGGAAAAGTGAAAATTAAGCCCTTACTCTTTTTATACAATACAGCTGTACTTTAAATTTGTTAAATAAATACAGTTTTGTCTTATCTTTCCATGATAATTTCGGGCCCCTTGTATGGAATTGTCCTGCATGCAAGTCATCATATTGAGGCTTTGCACATGCTGTCCCTTGAAGAAAACCAAATATCTTTCTCTGCTTAATCTTTACTAGATGTAAATTGAATTAGCCCTTTTTCATCCAATTTACGGTACATTTCATCTACACAATCGCAACCGAGTCTTGGCCAATTCTCTGCATAAAGAAAAAAAATAGGTACTTTAGATATTTTCAAGAAACAAGCACACGGATGTAGAAGATTACCAAAATTATCTCTGTCACTATGCAAACGCCTGGAATTTTTTTTTTTTTTTTTTGGTAACAGGTTATGAATGTTTTGGTTCACAAAGTTTGAACAGATGCAATTTTCTTTGTTCCAGTGCTTTATTTATAAAACATTTTATATAAGCATATACAATCAGTTCTGGTGCATTGTACAATTTTAAAGCACTGCAATGGCCAGCAAAACCAACAAAACAGATGGGCTTTAATTAGGCAATTGTAGCAGGAAGTCCCACAGAGACTGATTTATACAAAATAAAAATACGTTTTATTTGAAATTATTTTAAAAAAAAATAAAACAGTAGGAGCATGAATGTTTAGGCCACTTTGCCCCACTGATGAATGCCAACATTGTCCTGACAAAGACTCTGACATTACCTTTGGACTTAATCTGTGTATTTGTACTTCACAAAAAAAAAAAAAATCTCTTAAGAACATCAATAAATACAATGAAATATCAACATTCCACTCTAGCTGTTTTTACTCATAGAAGCTTTTTAATGCCATTTGGCTTCATTTCAGTGGCACCTTGAAATGTTCATTCTGCACTTTCGGTAGTGATGCGGCAACATCGCCACACCATTTAAATACGCATCTACACGGACAATATTTTGTGTTTGGATGTATTTTAAATGCGCATTCCTAAAATGTATTAGCGAAAGGGCATTTATTGGACACTCAACATGTATTTTAAACTATTGTGTGACAGTTTTCACAAGTTGCTTGTTTATAAAAAAAAACAAAAAACGAGACTCTATACAGGTTTGTTCCACACGTCTTTCATTATAACTAGTGACGGACAAATGAAGCTTCACGAATAACCGTTAGCGTTGCTTTCAGTCACTGACTGGCTGAGAAAAATTGTGCTACTGGTATAGTGCAGAGAGTGCTGTCCATTTGAACTTGGTTTAGAGCGCTACATGCCAGAAGCCTAACTGATTTCTTCCCAATTAGGGATAACGTGAAATGAATTCTAAATGCTACTAGAAGACCTAAGTAAAAAAAAACAAAAAAAAAAACACTGTTTGGGTGGGGCAATCTGTCCGTTAAGTTTGAAACCTCTCAACTGTTCATTTGTGGACAATGTTAAGAACCTCAACACTTCTTCCCAGGTTTGGTCAACACATTTGCTTGATGAAAAGTCACGAAGAACATTTAAATCAGAGTGAAAAGTCAGTCCCACCGGATATTTTGCAGTGGAGGTTTTCCAAAAAGGGCAGCTGTGATTGAAGGTGGTCCACGGTGGTTCCTGAGATCTTGTTGCACTTGGACACGTCAAGTGTCTTCAGTCGCTGACAGTGCTGAGCCAGCAGGAGCAAAGATCTGGAAATATCCATAAGTCAAACACGATGACACCACAAGAACACCTTACGGTCTTGTTGTGCAACAGAACCGATTTCACGTGATGCAGTATTTTGAAGAAACCGATGATTGGGGATTTGCTGTTTTAAATAACATGGCAGAGCACTGACTTACTGATCTGTAATGTGATTGCAAGCCGAGAGGGAGAGATGCTGCAACCTGTGGAGGAACGGCGCCGCCTGCGCCACGCCGCGGTCGCTTATGTGCGCACAGCGGCTGAGCTCCAGGCTGGTGAGCGCCCGGCAGTGCCGGGCCACAGCCAACAAACTGGCATCGGTGATGTCGGGCAGCGAGGACAAAAAGAGACACTGGAGGTCTGCGAAGCGCACCACCTACGCATGGAAGACGCAAACAATGACTTCATCTTTTGAGTACAGGCTCTCCCTCAAAAATGGACTCACACTTTGACTGCCTATCAGTCTTATGATTTTTCTTTTCAGGTGCAAAAGCAAGGAATCGAGAAAACCTGCGTGATGCTGCTGTCGGTGAGCTTGCAGCAGGCGGACAAGTTGAGTTCACGCAGCCTGCGGAGCGCTAACAGCGACGCCCCCGCCTGCAATTTGAACTGCTTCAAGTCGTCCGGCGTCACCAGCTTGGGTCGCTCCTCGAAGGGCAATCGCGGAGGCTTGAAGAAGCCCATGTTGCCGAAGGTGCGTGTGAACCTGGGGCCCCTGTCTTCCTGTCGAGGGGAATGCGGACATATGACTTCAATGGGGAAAATTCTGATACTGTTGTGTAACAGTGAGGGTAATTTCAATAACAGCCCCCCTCCCCCACCTCCAATTAGGTCTGAATAATTCATTCATCCATTTTCGAATCCGCTTATCCTCACAAGGGTCGCGGGCATGCTGGAGCCCATCCCAGCTGTCTCCAGGCAGTAGGCGGGGTCCACCCTAAACTGGTTGCCCGCCAATCGCAGGGCACACAGTGACGGACAACCATCTGCGCTCACACTCATACCTAGGGACAATTTAGAGTGTTCAATCAGCCTGCCATGCATGTTTTCGGAATGTGGGAGGAAAGCGGAGTGCCCGGAGAAAATCCACGCAGGCAAGGGGAGAACATGCAAACTCCACACAGGAAGCCCGGAACTGGAATCGAACCCTCCACCTCCGCACTGTGAGGCCGACGCGCTAACCAGTCGACCGCCGGGCTGAATAATGTTGGGAAATAATCAAACTGAGATTTATTTTTCTTCTCCCCTTAACAACCGATTTAAGACATGATTATTTTTTCAAGGTGCTCCTCCAAGTATTTTTGTAACAAACAAGCGTTGAATTTATCCTGTACCACAATCGACAATATCAGATGTATAATAGCCCAAAAGCATTTGTCTTATAACTCATGCTTACCCTAAAATAAAGGCAAATGAACTGCGTGGCGTGGCGTGAATGAAGTCAGGAAACGTATGAGCATAATAATGCAAACCAATCCGGCTTTATCATGTCATCACGTCAACTTTTCATGTTTGATGAAACAATATATACACGTGATACCAGCAACGACAGCACTCTCCGTCTGCAACGCTCACCTTCTCCTCGTCCAGCACGCACGTGCTCGTCTCCACCATCCCCAGCAGACCCCAATCCGTCACCTCTTTACACCAGCCGAGTCGCAGGACCACCAGGCCCTGCAGGTAGGTGGCAATGGCGCGCACCGACAGGTCGGTCACGTTGACGCACGAGGTTAGGTCCAGCTCACGTAGACTGCCGCCTAGAACCTGCGTAAGTGAGAATACGGCCTCATCCTGAGGAGAGCCAAAGGGAGACCATTATATTGTCCGTCTACTTTGTAAACTGTGTCCTCATTAAGACCACGACGGACGCCGGACAGGACTGACCCGCATGTAAGTACAGCTCCGGAGATTGAGCTTCTCCAGCTGCGCTCGCTCAGCAAGGCATCGCGACAAACCTTTCACCATCTCTGCCCCACCGACGTGAAGACACTCGGATAGATCCAGACTCCGCAGGGATGGGACTGACACCAGGTCAGCTAGGCCTGCACACCACATGACTACCATCACTTGACTTCAACAGCAGGCACACGTTAGAAAGTCCACACGCTTCTGGGAAAATGCAAAGTCTCCGAGATGGAAATAAATGACACCATGAGGAACCGTTTACACACTTTGCTGTGGTTACCGTTTGGCATCTATGCCAGATATACTTTTCCTGGATGCAGTCTAAATATAGATAAAGTCAAAAAAGTGGACCACAATGGCACGTCATGTTTCGTTAGCAAAATTTAGCCAGACATTCTTGATTTTTCTTCTTTGTCTTGCCCCATCCAGATATATGAAGAACTAAGGACTTGATGGAGATGCCTGCAGGTCATTGAACAACTATTCCAGATTGTCCGAATGTTGTCATGCAAATCTCTGAACTCAACCTTGTTTCAGCCGGAACATGTGGCATTGCGGATAGTTGAAAAATAATCAATAATGGGTGACATAGCCCGAAAAGGTCTAAAAATTATTCCTAACGCAGCAAACCCTTCAAAATCAAGGTTTTCACGTCCACTCTACGAACAATCGAGTCTTAAAAATGAAAATCTCCCGTGCTGGCCTCCTCTGACCAACAGGATACCTGTTTCAGTGATCTTCCAGTCACGTGACAACGAGAGGTCCGTAAGGGAGCTCAGGCCTCGCGCTACGGCCACCACGGCCCTGCTGGTCAACTCGGTGCAGCCGCTGATGTCCAGTTTCTGGAGGCCCGGCTGGTGCTTCACCAGAACCTCCACCGAGTAGTCTGTCAGCTCCTTGCAACTTTGCAGAAACAGATCCTCCAAGGCCAAACCTTGAACCTGTAACACACGTCATATAACCCAAATGGTGGGAAAACCTTTGCACTCAAGTGAAGATTGCACATTGATTAGTGCATATATTGCGGTTCTGATCTATGTGGAGAAGCAACGTTTCCTAACCTGGGCAATAGTGCGAAGGGATTCGGGAGTGATGGAGGTTCTGCTGAGGTCCAGAGCAACAAGGGTGGCGCTCTGCTCCGTGAGCAACTTCCGCAGGTTCCTCAGTGAGAGTAGCGCAGAGGAAACCTTGACGGTTCCCACCGGGCAGCCACTGTAGGGGTCAAACTCAAAAGCAATGTGGCAGCCAGCCAGCGCGAGGCGGCGGAGGCGAGGTGTGCAGCCCGTCAGGCGGTTGAAGGTGAGGTCAGAGAGGTAGCGCAGGTCGGACAGGTCCAGTTCCTCAAGGCCAGAGATAGCCGACTTAACCTGGATCACAGTGGAAAGAAAACATTGGGGAGTTTGAACAGGAAAACTAAATGGTGGAACGACTACTAACTTAACCAGGATTCATATTAGGACAACTTTCCTATTCACTGATGTGCTTATTCCAAATTTTGTCTTCTATCAACAATTTTACATAACCCAAAGACCAAAAAAAAAAAAAAAGAAAAACAATAATATATAGTAGTTTGTAAATAAAACTGTGGAGTGACGAAGTGTCATCAGTCAGCTTTGGAAGTCGACAGAAATCTGAGAATATTTACAGTTTCAAGGCTGAAATTGACAGGCACATTGCTGTTCTGTGTTGAATATAAAGATGATGCACAAGATGGAAAATTAATTTCCAAGACAATGTCTCCGAGTGATGTTGGATTTATTACCTGCTGTCTGTGTTCCTTCCTGGAGAGGAAGGCTCCAGACATGAAGAGGCTGTCCAGGCCTCTTAGGTCGAGCCTGCGGAGGGAAGTGAGGCGAGGGAGGAGAGCCAACAAGGAGGCTTCAGTGACACTGCTGCCAGGCAGTGCTAAGCTGTCCAACTTGGAGCCGACACTTCGGCCCACCTGATGGCAGAGAGGCAAGGGGACACGTGAGAGACTGAAGTCACACTGGGACACATACGGTAAGTGACATTTCCAAAGATATATAGCTCTCTGTGTTTGGTGGGGTTGAGGTCGGGGTTCGAAACAAGTTCTTCCTGATCATACATTATCCAGGCCTTCATCTGTGGACTTTGCTTTATACACTGGGAACATGGAAGGGGCTTTTACACAAAGCCGGAAACATAAAATAGTACAAAACGTCATACATGGATATGAACTGGGAATTTCGGGGTCAACCCCAAAACAGGAATAGTTGATTAAGAGATGGATTGTATCTTCATGCTTGTGTTAATACAGTGGCATGTAGTACCGTATTGGCCCGAATATAAGACGGTGTTTTTTGCATTGAAATAAGACTGAAAAAGTGGGGGGTCATCTTATATTCGGAGTCTAGTCATTATACCCATTCACGACGCTAGATGGCGCCAGATATCATTGAAGCGAATGCTGAACTTGACTCCCCAGGCCAAAGTGAAACCCTGTCACGAAGAATAAAAATAAAAATAGCGGTAGCACAAAGAAGAAAAATAAAAAAATAGCGGTAAGAAAGAAAAGAGAAGACAATAATAGAAGAGATAACAGAAAATGGAGAAACGTAGCGACAATCTGCAGAAAAGTGGGTCGAGGATCGGCCAGGTTAACCGGCAGCTGAGGATAAGTTATGATGTAATTTACATTTCAAAAGCAGAAGCCATTCATTTACGAATGTGATTGCACTTTAGTTTACATATTTAAATGTTCAGATATTAAGATTTGAATGAGGCAAAATAACATGCTTTTTCTCTCAAATATATTGTTATAATCATTTGTTTCAGATGTACTGTACTGTAATTATTTTCTGTATAAAAATTAATTTGGTGTTCAAAAAGTCTTTTTTCAAACTTGAGTCTTGAAAAAGAGGGTGTCGTATTAGAATCAGGGCCGTCTCATATTTGGGCCAATACGATAATACAGGTGGCATGTAGTTAATACTGAAGTACCTCTTCCTGCTAAATGACCATGAAAAGTCTTAGATAAAGACAGCAGCTTTAACATCTCTCAACTATTGTCAGTGAAGTTCTGACCTCAGAAGTGCTGACAAGATCCATGCTTTTTTTCTGTCAAGTTAGGCATACAGTGGTGCCGTAACTTACAAACTGAATGTGTTGCCCGAAGACGCGCTAAACACAATTCACTCGTTTGTCAAATTTATTTTCCACAAAAAAGTCAAGTGATTAGTCTGTTTCAGCTCCCTAAAAATCAACAACCTTTTTTTAGGTGTTTAATGAAGAAACATGAACAATATAACAACAAAAACATGCTAAAAAATCTTAAAAGAAAATGTAAAGAAATAAAGCTTCTGTTGTGTGGCAAGGTATAGTTAGATTTTGATTCTTCTATTTAAGACTTGAATAAAGTTATATTTAAGGTTTTCTGATGACAATCATCCCACTGCCAACCCCCACCCGTCTGACCTCCAGTAGCAGAGATCTGGACAAGCTGAAGCCATCCAGCTGTCTGATGATCAAGCTGCAGCGAGACCTTCGTCCCAGACTCCTGACCAGCTCCAAGGATGAGGCTGAAGCCGGAAAGCAAAATATGACATTTTTCTACAGGCAAAAAGAGAGACAGACAAAAGGTTTGCTTTGCACGTGCACGGCCTTCACTTGACAAATCGAATGTTATTGCAGATTTGTAGAATTCGGTATAAGTGATGTGGCAAAAATGACCTGAAAACACAAGTCCTGGCTGGCAATGTACCAGCTGCGGCAGACCAGTGATGCTTCCTTTCTGTCTGAAGTCTGGAGGAAACTCAGGATGTAGACTACAATCTAGAAAGAAAGACAAGGACATTACATATGTAATGTTAAACGACGTTCTACGCATAATCAATGACTGTTATCTGGATTATGAGAGCCATAGTGGGAAAAAATATCATAGAGAAGTTATTCTACAAGAATGAAATCAAAGGGGTATAAGAATTAGGCACACCTGAATTTGAAGCTCTGAGAATACACAGATCCCAATCCCTTGGTAATGTATTTAGGAGAAAAAGAGCGCATCCAAACTGTTGCAATTTTGGAGGATTTTTTTGAGGGGGCGGGGGGACAAAACTATACCAACATGACACCTTTTATATGGCTTGTGGAGCAGTGGTTTAAACCAAGGAAAACATTAAATCTTTTTTTTTTTGGGGGGGGGGCATCTGTTTTTCAGGCGGTGTAATAAATTAACTGTGTTAAATCCAGCTCTATTTCCGGTACGCAAAATGCTCAAGTTGCACACATTACAAGTGCTGTTATATTGTCTCCACTTTCCACATGAAAACATTTCAATATTAGAGCTAGCTTCACATTAGCTCCCCATGGCAACTACTGTACAATGTACAGTGTAATTTTTAAAAGACTAAAAAGGGACTAATAACATTGCAAAACAAAAAGCTGCATTTAGACGTCAAATTATTATAAAAATGCAGAATCTATTTGTAATTTTACAAGAATTGAACTCTCATTTATAAGAAAAAAACTATTAAGAACGTGAAAATATTAATTTTATGAGACTCAAGTTATGTTGCCTAAGTACACATGCCAGGTGGTTTATCTTGTGTTGACCTAGGAGTGTGGCGTTTCGGTTCATGTCGGAAATTTTAAATGTACTGTTACAATGACGTCCTTTCTGACTGTAATTCTTTTCAGACTACGTAGTCTGGACAAATTAATTTCAGTCAACGAGCTACAATGTAAAGTTAAATGAAGATGTCTGACCTCCAGAGGTAGCTCGGGTGTTTCCAGAGAGTCCGCTTCATCGTAGTCTTCCATCTCGCAGTTTGCTCTCAGTCAGACGTCAAGCATTCGACACGGAAGCGCAATGGAAGAGGCTCATAAACGCATCACGGCGGAGCTAACATAACTGCTTCCTAGCTAACTAGCTTAAACGACCAAGCTTGGCTGCTGGCAAGCACGCTCGTCTGCACGAGAATTAATGGCCTAACCAGAGTCGTGGCAATGGCAAGCTTTGAAATGCCAGGTTAAAATAAAAAGAAGTTACTAGCTGTTCCACGCAGTTGCCGCTGACACCAGCTCGTCATTGTGTCGGTCAGGAGGATCAGCTGAGTGTAGACGGTGACGTCACGGGGTCGATAACGCGTACCAGTGATACTGAAAAAAATCGGGTTTTATAATAAAAAATAAGGCGTTTAAATAAACTTTTATGCCCGTTACATGTTGTACCATAACTCATTTCTATATTTGTCTAATTTTAAAAAAAAATCTGGTTTGCAAGTTTTAATTGGAAATCAGCTTTAGAGAATACGCGTCTGTATTATATTGCTCTGGTTCCTTGTTTCATCTCTCTTGGAAAAGGTTAAATTTGTTTTCAAGGATATGTAAACCACAATTTCACATTCACACACACTTATATACACGCTTAACAATTAAATAAGTGGTTTAGTTGCACTTTTTTCCCACTTAAAGCGCTGGTTGTTCACCAATGTTTAAAAAAAAATCCCACAATTGCCTGTAGTGATTCTTACCAGGTTTTTATATTTTAGCTTTTACAACCAAGTGAAATTTGTGTCGTGTAGCCATCAGTGGTAGTGCCTACTTTTTGTGATGCGAAAAGTTGAAACTGTTTTGTCAAGTCAACTTTACCTTAATGTGGTGAGGTGATTTTGAGGATGTACTCTGACGCGTTTCCGGGGGAAAAAATGAATGCTCAATTTATGGGGCTCCTTAAAAGACAGTCAAACCAATGAAACCACACTGCTAACCACACAAACAGGCTATACTCTGCACAATTTAGTTACTGGAAACTGTATTTCCCCCCTTACCTGGAATTTCTGCTGTCTGCTGTCACCACAAGCACACACAGGAAATGGAAAACCTGCATCAACCTGGCCTAATTAACACAATTGAAGTGATTTAGAAAATGGATGGAAGAAAAAAATAGATATTTTAAAAAAGGAGAAGTAAATTAAAACAATTGTTGCTTGAAGTTTAATTCACATGCCAATTGTTGGAATGACTGCCGAAGGACAATTGACAGACATCATTATGATACACACACAACATATGAATAATATGATGATGATGATGATGATGAACATTTCATGCAGCCTACATAAACATACTTAAACATGCATGCACACAAACACACACCCCAATGAGAAACAATCTACTTGGATTGTAAATTGCTTTTTAAACTGATTTGTGGCTGTATTAATTATTAAACCATCAATAGAATTAATTTTCACATTATGTATCCATTAACAAGTCGATATCAGACATTATATAAGACATTATTTTACAAATGAAACAAATCAATAGTACGACTATCTCACAGCCTGGTTTTATATGGTAAATGTATGTTCATATACAGTACACACATACTGACACTTGTTTTTGTATATCAATTACGTAAATAAAAAAATCAGCAGTGTACGCTATTGACATAAACACAAAATGAAAGTAAGGCAAACTTGAATTTACCAAAAAAAAAAAAAAAGGAAACATTTTTCAACAACAGCAAAAACAAATACCATATTGGAGGGTGTGTAAAGACATTTGGTTTTGTTCATGGATTGACCAAACAATGATTCAGCTCAGTGAATCGGACTCAAAGCAGATTTAAATCAAAGTTGTCAAAGTATTGTGAGTCATCTGCCAACACAAGCTTCAACATCAATATGCTATATTGCAGTGATTCCCAACCTTAAATTGAGCTAAGGCACATATTTTAAGTTAAAAAAAAAAAAAAATTGCACGGCACACCAATAAACAGAATTGTCACAAAAAGATGATACATATGTCAATTTCATACTTTTTGCCATCTAATAGATCATTTATTTGTTCTTTCTGTCCCTATAAATTGCTGGCATAGATAGAGGGACAAAGTTACATTATTTGTTATTAAGAAATAATTTTCTCACCGATTAAATGAAATCTGATAAGTTCCCACGGCACACTGTTAGAACTCTCACGGCACACTAACGTGCCCCAGCACACTGGTTGGGAATCACTGCTATATTGTAAATAGGATATGACACACTTTACTTTCATTCCTGCTGTAAGCCCTTAATCTTCCCCCCTTCAGCTTGCCATCTGCTGTGAATCATAAACCCTTCAAAGTTGACCTTTGGTTGCACCGGCATGTCATTTGCTTCTTCCCATACATTGATGTGACCAACTGTTCTTATTTCTGTCACACGTTCTGCCCACCCTCCTCCTCCTCACTCATATCCTCCTGCCTGTGATCCATCGGCAGCGCATCCTCCATAAGGGTGAGCGACGACAAGTCCGAGTTGTCGTTGAAGCAGGCGAAGGTGGAGAGAAACGTGGTGGAACTGGCGGGAGTGGCTGAGGGCGTGGAGACAAGGGATGGAAGCGGAGACGAGATGGATGCCTGGAAGAGAGCAGAGAAAGCTTCTCAAATACTCGACTCCACTAGTGTGGTTACACTTGAATAAATACATCACGGGCCCTATTTTCGTTCCCAGCGTCAGTTTAGTGCAAAGCGTGCTTGACATTGCGAAAACTCAAATAGACTGACTGAGGTTGGTGCATGACATTGACAGGTAAACTGCAAGACCTCCCCTTGCAGATGATGTCGGTGGTCGCACATGTGACATGGGCAATTGGAGACCGCCGTGTACCCACGACTATGCATCTGTGTGTAAAGCTGCCATCCTAACCAAATGCCTATATGTGTTGACCTGCAGCGAGACGCTAGACTTGCTGGTCTTCTCTTTGACTTGAGCCATGGCTCCTTTGAGTCCGGCGGATTTCTCCGTCATCTCTAGGGCCGCTCTCAGCAACTTGGGAGTCTCGGGCCTGGCAGGGGTGGGTTGGACCTGGGCAGGTTGCTTGGCTTCTTCTTTGGGCTCAGGTTTCTTCCCTTTGGTGAGCATCTTCCTGTGAGGAAAGAATGAGAAGGGACCTTGCAAGAAGCTATTTTCTGTTCTTTGGGGACCAACTCCCTATTGTAGCCATTGTAACTTCCTTTAAGTTTAATTTCTTTCAACCTTTTGGTCATGAGAAGAGCCATCTTTTGCGTACCTGGCTTTCTTACGCAGCAGTTTTTTGGATTCAGGATAGTGAACCAAAATCTCATTCAGGTCTTTCTTGTCCAAGATGAAGAGATTGGCAAAGCCATGAGAGATCACGTTGGCGGTGCGCCTGTTGCCCCCGCCCACTGCGAGCAAACTGCCAATCAAAGTGAGGCAGAAGGAATAAATAGACACTTGGATCTTTTCAAGCACATTTAAAACAACTTATAATTCAACCTAATTTTACAAAAACAACCTAATTTCGCCAAAGACGGAGCCGGCACTGAGCGTGACAAAAACTGTCTTCCCATCTGGTCCTCCAACCACCTGCACCTCCCCTGCCTTGATGATGTACATCTCCCGACCGACCTCGCCCTGAGGAAAATGAAAATGATGAGAAGTATTAAGTGACAGTTGGAGCCTCAACCAGGATGACCAGAGAGATAAGTTATAACCTGGACTGATCTCTTGCCAATCCACAGGACTGACACGTAGAGGCAGACAACAATTCGCAATTGACACTATTAGTAGGACATCACACTGGGAGAACATGCAAACTACACACAGGAAGGCCAAGATCGAACCCACAACCTCTGCACTGTGAGGTCGACGCGCTAACCACTGGACCACCGGGCTGCCGACATTATTAATATTCTAATTATTCAACAATATACAATTTCTTGAAGGTTGTGTGTGTGTATGTGTGTGTGTGCGTGTGTGTGTGTGTGTGTGTGTGTGTGTGTGTGTGTGTGTGTGTGTGTGTGTGTGTGTGTGTGTGTATGTGAGGGGGTTGGGGTTGTTTTGTTTTGTTTTTCCAGACTTTGGTAACCTCAGTAAAACTCACCTTTTTGCAGACATAATCCCCTGGCAGGTAAACAACTGAGCGCAGGCTCTTTAACATGTCAAAGATCATCTGCTGATCACAGCCCTGTCAAAAAGAAGAACAATCACATTCAACTGGGACTTCGGTTAGTCTGTTGTGTTGTATTTTTTTTTTTTGCGAAGACATCATGCGATCATCAATATTATAAAACTGAAAGGCTTCTACCTGAAAGAGAGGGACCTTGCTGACGATGGAGTAATTGACATCTATGGCGATGTCCAGACGCATTTTATCTGGCAACTGAGTCAGCAGCTCCTGCTCGTCTGGATGGTGAACAGTGTTGGGACATCTATTAGTATCTGCATATTGTATGTTGTTGCATACCCAATATGCATCAATGGAGCCACATAATTAGCTATACCTACATGATCTAAAGAGAATTTAAATTCTGCCTTTACAAATGTCATAATGTTCAGTTTTGAATGGCACCGTCAGAAAGATATTCATTTATCGACATGTTCATTATTGTTGCGTAGCGGTGTTGAACTACACTACATCATACTGAAAACTATTTGGAATATTTTGGCTTCATCATGAGCCTACAGGAGAGGGTCAAAATATTAGACATATTTCTCAGTATCATGTCTTTCTTGTGGCTCTCTGGATGAAGTACAAGTAATGCGACAGCTAACGTGGAACTCACACAGCTTTAGTAGAGGCAGACATTGGTGAAAAGTTAAAGCTGTAACGTGTTGCTGTTTACTTTTATGTTACTCGAAGGTCTCATTTCCTTACCCAGCATGCCTTGTGATTGCCAGGTGTAATTGTACCAGGTTTTGACTCTGTTCTGGACATCTTTGGGGATGCGATATGAGGACATGTATTTAATGGTGTTGTCCATACAGGTACGGTAGTATGTCTGACTAGCTGTGGCCGCACCAACTACATCACGCATCTGAGAAAAAAATGCACTCATTATATAACTGTGTTACAACTTTGTGATTTTATTTTATTTTATTCTAAAACCTACCTGCCCAATCATGATAGAAAAGACAAAGACTCCCACAAAGTAGTTGATAAGCTGAAAGACGATCTCAAACAGCGTTGTGGGATCTGGCAACCCCCCGATGGTGATGAGGGTCTTGACCGCAAAGTAGTAACAACGAATGTAACTGTGGCAAGAAGACATTGACAAGAAGCAGGGTTGCATGAACTTAGCATTACTTAATGTACTAAGTGTTTGATTGTTGTCTTTCATGCCTGAATCAGAAACATTGTAACGTCTGTTTCACCAACCTGTTGCCTTTGCCGTCGTACACCCACTGAGTGGAGCCCAGTCCTTTGTAGGCGGAGCCCCAGTAGTAGAGGCAGGCGTTGCAGTGG